CAATGGTGAGGAGCACATACTGCTCTTGCAGAGGACCCGAGTTTAGTTTCTAGCATCTACATTTGGGGGCTTACAAACACCCCCAAATTCCTTCAGTTCCTGTGGAATTAGATGACTCTGGCCTCTAAGGGCACCTGTACTCATGTGCACACACACACACACACACACACACACACACACACACACACACACCACACTAACATAATTTAAAAAAAATTAAAATATTTAAAAATATGTTGTGGTTTTTGTGTGCATGTTTGTGTATTATGTATGTGTCCCTATGTGCTTGAGAAATTTTACAATCCTCAAGGTTAAAGGGGAATTGTATCTGTATCTGTATGTGGCAACTTCTTACTATACTCCAGGCTATCACTTAGAGTATTACATTAATGAGTTTGAGACATTTTTTCTCCCAGAAGTTCCTGCCTCCTTCGGATCTGAGCTGGGTGTAAAGATTTGACCTTTTCCAAAGATTCAGTGGGATCATCTCTTAGCCTTTGCTCATGTCAGATCTAAGTAAGGTCACTGGGATCCAAAGCCTGCCCCTCCCAAATGCAGAACGATAGTTCAACACCATTGGAGAGCTAAGGCTCTGTTTCCTTGCCTGAAATGCCCCAGAACACTCTTCAGAATCCCAGCAACAATTTCTGGTCCAAGGGCTGAGTTCTGAGAAGATGTAATTGCCTCTAAATGGAAATGTCATCCCCTAGATGGGGGAAACCCAACCATTTTCTTTTGAAGGGGCCAGCATACAGCCAAGAAGAGAATCAATCAATATTCATTTTCTTTCTACTGAAAAGAGACGACAAAGGATGTTGTCCAACAGGGCAGCCTTTCAACTTGAGCAGCACTAATTGATGGGATGTTTGGCAGAAAGACTTGATTTCCCATACCTGACTCCCTCCCCGTGCCCTTTCTTGTCCTTCTTATTCCCCCACGTTTGAAAGGCAACTAGGAGCCCTTCCTGGACAGATGTCCAGTAGCTCCCAATACTACCTGAGGCTGAGTTGAGGGTTCTAAATCTAGGAGGTGAGTCCTTTAGGACTAAGTCTTCTGCCATCTAATAGTGCGGAGACAAGGTCTCATGCCCAGCTCTGGCCCCTTTGTTCAGAGAAAAGATGAGCTAGAGTGTACCATTCTACCTTCAATAAAACAACACACATCAACAACAAAAATCAAAAAAAACAGATGGGAAACTGAGAGGCCAAGTCTAGCTTGTCATGAGCCAAGGCAGAGCAGAAAGACAGGAAAATTCTGGGGACATGAGTGGGAAGAGCCCTCCACCCTAGAGTCTAATTGAAGCCTCTCTCTAACTGGGAGCTGGCATGATGGCATACATTAGTACTTGGCACTGAGGTTCCCTACATAAAAATAATATTCTTTGTATTTATAGCATTTTATTTTAAAGTATCAGTGAGCCAAGCTAAAGGCCTTTATGCATGTGACACTGGGTAGGGCTCTGTTCCTTTCTCAGACCTTTCCTTGAATCTCAAAGATGCTTGCTTTGTGTACAGTGAAGAAATCCCATCTTTCTACATTCCTGTAATCTAGAGTTTTACCGTATCCTTACAATTACCTCTAAATAAGAGGCAATTTAATGAGATAATATTGCCTGTAATCCTTTCAGGGGCCCCCTATGGACCGCCAGTGATCACATTTAGGTTTCTGAGCAAGCCTTTGAAGACAGTAATTTTAAATCCCACAAAAGTATGTTATATAACTTGTAAAAACAGTGAGCTGCAAGTCTTCTGGAAGCCCATACCCATGCTCTCTAGTCTGCCCTGGTTTTCCTCAGCACTGTCTTTCTCATAACCCTCATTCTTAAAGTCTACATTAATATGAAACCCAAAGTCCGCTCTCTATTAGTTAGTTTTGAAATTATTTTCTGTGTTGAAGCCACCAATCTTGGCTTGCCCTGAGTCCCCTCAAAGATTAGGGTGACAGCTGAGGCTGCTGTCACCACAGGGAATTGTGCCTCCTGATTCTTGGTTCTGGCCAGAGCCTGGACATGCTCTCCCTGATACTTTGGGCTTTCTCACTTTTATTCTGCAGGTATCCATTTGCTTTGGTTGTGTGGATGCTTATAAATGGCATGGTGCTCTCTCTTCCTCCCTGGGGCAGCTTCCAAAATTCCCAGTTTGTCTGACCTGGGGTTTCTTTTTTTAAGCACTAATAAAATCGTCTTTGAGTTTCCTTTGGAGTCAATTCTTAAATATCTTTATTAATGAAACTAAGAATCTGAAAATGGTACTTCTCCAAATTTCCCTTAACAGTATTCTTACTCTGGGAGACTGAGAGTCAAGGAAAAAAATAGTTGTACATAAACAAATCTACTAATATAACTCTTCATCCCCATAAAGCACCCCTATATAATGCCTAGTCTTCTTCCCACAAATTACCACCTTTAGAAGCTTGAACCCCTTTACCTTTATCTTGTTGCTTCTCTACAAACTTCATCATTCTTGTGTAGACGCTCCCATTGCTACGTTTCTTATGAAGTTTCCTATGAAGGCTACATGCCTCAATATACAATATGCAATATATATGTATTACATACACATGTGTATTATATATGTGTAGTATATTAAATGACATTTGTACCTTTTCCTCCTTTTAACCTGTCATATGTCAGCTGAATTTTCAGGTCCAGGCATTATAATTTAAAAGGGAGGGAAAAATTTTCCCTCTTCATAAAGTTAGAATCTTCTAGAACCAGGCTAGTCAGCCCAAATTTTCTATGATCCTCTATGCATCCAGAAGGTGGAGATAGGCCTGCATCCCACACCTTGTGGCTGAGCAGGATGTACATGGATAACGGTCCAGCCTCTCCCTCTCTCCCTGTGGGCCAGGGCAAGTGAGCCTCGTGTTCCAGCGTTCTGTTTCAGGATTTGGTCGAGGGTCAGTCTTCAGTCCAGTCTCTGCTGAGCTTGGCTACACCATGCTGTTTGGTAAACTGGGCTTCTTTTGCTGTTTGCTAATTGTTCTTTGCGCACACACCCCAACTCCCAGAGGGGAGTGGTAAGAGCGACACCGCGAACCCTGACAGTGATTTTCCCCGCAGAGTGGACACAGTGCTGAGCTCACACTCCAGGTTCAGCCAAGTCGATTTGTCTACCTTTCTCATTCAACAAAGGGGGAATCTCCATGTTCAGAAGCTCCAAGCCATTGGATCGGTCAAAAGAGCTACTCAGTGCCCACCCGAGTGGGAGTTTGGGATTCAGGTTTCGGCAGCAGGAGATATGGGGAGGCTACATCTCGGGGATCCAGCTGCCCGGTGATGGTCTTCTGACTGAGGTAGGGGCTTAGGGCTGGAGACACCTGGTGTGGCGTTCCTCAGCTTCCACAGGACTCTTCATCTCTCTCTGCTCTCTACAGTGCCCCCTCCCCCAATGCCAGTCTCATTTCTACCCAAGATCCTCTCTCTTTGGATCAGAGAATGAATTCAGGATCAGCCCAAGGGAGAGAGATGCTTTAAAACAAGAATATCCATCTGGCTCCCACAGAGAGATAAGGGCAGGGTGGGGGAGGTGTGGGCTCGTCCCATCAGTCCCTCTGCAGCAGGGACCCCCTCCTCATCCCCAGGATCTCCATTGTTACACAAACGAAGTCCCTGGTACTAGGGTGTGTTGGATGCAAATTGAATTAAGTCTCCATCTGTTATTCATTGCAGAAATGGGGCTTTTTTTTCTTCCCTTTTCTGATTTTTTTTCTCTCTCCATGTTTCATACTTGCTAATGAGTGTATCTAATAGCATTAAGACTATGGTCAGGAGGCAGCTCTGCTCAGACTGGAGTCCCCATACACTCCTCACCACCCCAAGAGACACACTCCCCCTCCCGCCCTCCTTTTGGATTCCTGCTGCCTCAGGCCTCCTAGAAAAAGTACCCAAGCTGTTGATTCAAAATAGATATTCATTTGCATGAAATTAGCATGTTGCTCATTTAATTCCTCATTCCACCCTCCAGTCCCACCATCCCAGGTCCTGTCCAGGATACCCACAGGTCTGGGTGGGTACAGGGAAAACAGGCTTGTGGTTGAGGCATTCCTTCAGGAACACAGTTTTAGAGGAGACACACACAACAGTGCTGAGGGCATCCCCCTCCATGGCAGAAGAAAGCAGGTACCTTTGAGACAAAGCTTTCACCAAGGTTTTGTCACACTGCTGAAATACCTGTTATTGGCATCTCTCTCAGGGAAGCATGAGTAACAGGGTAACAGCAGAGGAGGCAAGTGAGGTGCTGTACAGTAGAAAGACACAGGAGTTACGGGAATCTTGGAAGGGAAAGAAGCCGCCTGCCCCTGAGATGCAGTTTGCATTGCTCAGTGGCTGAGAATCAAAACCATCAACACAAATGACAAAATCAAGATTGTCTATGGAGACAATATTTCCATTTCCAAGAGATATCCCAAACAAGGATACTAAAGGCAACATATGGACTGTGTTCACTCATGGCCCATGATGCTTGTGATCTCACATATCAGTACTTTGATCTCCTCCCTAAATCTGAGCCATGAACCCCAGAAGCCACCTTACCCATTTCATCACAAAACAGAAATTGTATGTGCACACACACACACACACACACACACACACACACACACACGTGTGTGCATGTAGGTGTGCTTGCATGTGCATGCACGTAAAAGTCAGAGGACAACCTACAGTATCATTCCTAAGGTATTGTATTTATTCATAGTTTTTGTAAATGTAGTTTAAATGAGTCATGTCCCCAATTAATTCACACATTTGAACACTTGTTCCCAATTGGTGACACTGTTTGGGAAGGTTATGGACCTTGAAGAGATATAGCTGAGCTGGAGGAATTATGTCACTGGGGGAGGGGTTGAAGATTGAACCAGTGTCTCACTCTGCTTTGAGTTTATAGTTGGGGATTTTGTTAATATTCTGACCCGCCCCTTGGGGCCACCCTGCATCTTGACTTAGAAGCCTCTTCTTAAGGAAAAACTCTTCCTCTTTTGCCCCGTCCTGCGGGCCAGGTTATTGGGGAGACCCGAGGAGGCACCTCCTGAAAGATCAATGGGGGCGAGAGAGAAAGGAGACCAGGCGCATAAGGGAAGACAGAGTCAGTCTGAGTCACGTCAAGGTCTCGTTTATTGACTGGGTATTGAGGCTTATAAGCAGGGCTTCAGGCAGGGAGGGGGAGCAGGGGAAGCAAAAGGAGAGAAGAATGGAAAATTCCTAAGGAAGGGTGAGGTCGCTTTGGTCCCAGGCCCCTGCAGCTGGCTGATTAGCACGTACTCCAGGAAGTTGTACAGCCCGCGGTTAGGCCAGGAACCTGTTTTTGCAAGGTTTGATAAAGTAAGGAAGGTCACACAAAATTCAAGACACAGCTGTCCGGAGTCGGTCTCCAACACTCTTTCTCTCTCCTTCTGCTTTTCCTCCCACAAGGTGTGTACCCCTCCTCTCTCTTCCTCTCTCTCTCTCTCTCTCTCTCTCTCTCTCTCTCTCATCTTTCTGCCTCTTCATCTCTCTATTACAATAAACCGTTTCCTCTCAGATGCAGCATCTGGGATGTGAATGTCCACCCACTGTCCCACCGCCACCATCCCACCGCCATGCCTACATGGGCTGGATCTCCCGCCAGCCAGCAGTTGCATCTGCCCAGCATGCCAGCATGTTTCCCTGCATGCTCAGGGTACCCTCGCCCCTCCCCTGCCCCGTGTAATAAATCATAACAGATTTGATCTCTCAGCTTCCTGCTTTTTTATTTAATATTTTATTTTATTTTTATGTCCATTGATTTTTTTTTTTTTGCTATGGGTGTCTGGTCTCCTGAAACTGGACAGATGTGAGCTGCCATGTGGTTGCTGGGAATTGAACCTGAGTCCTCTGGAAGAGCAGTGAGTGTTCCTAACCCCTGAGTCATCCCTCCAGCCGCTCAGCTTCCTGCTTTGGCCACCTGCTGCCGTGCCTCTCCCACCATTATGGATGTCCCTTCTGGAACCTCTGGAACTGAAAACCAAAATAAACTCTTTGTTAAGTTGCTTTTGGTCATGGTATTTTATCACAGCAATAGAAAAGTGACTAATACAGTAAGACATGATTTTTAAAATGATTTGACGGTTTCATATATGCATATAGTGAATTTAGTCATTTTCACCCTTTAGTATTATGGGCCCTTTAATTCAATGGGCCCTCTTCTACTTTCATGTCATTTGTGGTGTGTGTGTGTGTGTGTGTGTGTGTGTGTGTGTGTGTGTGTGTGTATGTGTGTGTGTGCACGTGCGCAATGTGTCTATGTTTATTTACATAAGAAAAATAGGGCATTGACTCTAATTTTTACTGTATCTTATTATATATGTGTATGCCATGGTACACATGAAGAGGACAAAGGACAACTTTCCAGGAGTCAGTTCTGTCCTTCTGTCATGTATGTGGTTTCTGGAGATGGAGCTCAGGTCATCAGCCTTGGCAGCAAGCCTCTTAAGCCACTGAGCCATCTCCCTGGCCCGGCATTGACTTTAAAATAACCTTTGATGCTTCTAGCAGTATCTTGGCCACTGGCACCCTATGATTATTTATCTAAGGGCATTTTGTTTTGCAAAAACAAAATGCTATAAACTGGGAGATTTATAAAGAGGAGATACATTTGGCTCACAGCTCTGGACACTGGGAAGTCCAAGAGTGTGACACTAGCAACTGTCAAATGCCTTCCTGTGGCATCATAAGAAGGCAGAGGACAGCACACGACAAGAACGCAAGAAGAGGACAGAACAGGGGTTCCAGGCTTGGTCTATGTTTTTCTTCATGAAAGGCCACCAACCCCATCATAAGAGGTCTCTTCCTTATGACTCCATGTCATTCTAAACCCATTCTAAAACCCCACATCCAAACACTATTAGCCCGCAGTATTAGAGATTTTAGTTTCAATCACAGTTTTAGGGGAGAAGAGACACCCAGTTCATAACAGTGTCCCCAAGACAGCGAGTCCAGTGCTCTCTATGTGATACTATTCCGTACGATCAGCTAACCCATCTCCGCTGCATCCTATGTATCAAAAGCATCCACCAGATTAACTTAATTAGAAGAACATGGGATAGTTAGAGAACAGAATGAACAGGTGAACAATGGGCTTCAGGAAGGATAGAAAACAGGACTTACTTTATTGGCCCAAGGATTCGAAATAATCAGAGTACCTGGATGAACAAGTGAATTGGGGTGAATTGAGTTTGCTCTCTACTCATCAAGCCTTGTCTCTCCGCAGGAGTTTTATCTGTCTGGAGAAAAGACGGGGTGATTTTTTTTTCTTGGCTCAATGATGCTGTAGTTGCCTTAGCTGTTTCTTCTGAGTATCTCAAAAGGTTAGCAGTGGCCCTGGAAATAACGACCTATCTTCTTAGGATGCTGCCATTAAAAAAAAAAAAAAGAAAGAAATCCGCTTCAACAATTGCTGATCATTTTCTGTAGCATTCTAGCCACAGTTCAGATATCAAGAGAATGGCCAGTTTAAATTCCTGACAAATGGTGTCATTAAGACTTCACAGAGTTGGGGGTAAGGCGAGTGCAAAGAGCAAGACCCCAAAGGTTATCATTATGCTATCCCAAGCCAGCAGGTATCCAATAAATGTCATAAGCTGGACCGGAGGTGTATAATCCCTCTGACTCGGGGCTACCATATTGCCCATCACTAGACAGAACTGTCCAGGTTGGGTTCTATGTGGTCAGAGCCCTCCACAGTTGTACTGCACAGAATCCTTTGTCTCCTGCCTCACCATTCTTCCCCCATATGCTGGCCTGCAACTGTTACAGCCTCAGCACTGTGGCTGAAGTCAGTCCCCATCTAGCAGGACCCAGATGTTGTTGGCTCTTATGACTTGATTACTTTTTGTTTTTGAGACACTGGTCATACTGTGTTGCCTTGGTTGGCCTGGAACTCTCTCTAGTAGTAGACCAGACTGGCTTCAAATTCCCTGAGACTATCTGCCTCCGCCTGAGTGTTAGGATTCAAGGTGTGGGCTACCACACCCAGCTGTCTTGCTTATTTTTCATCAGACATCAAAAGAAGGTCTAGGTGTGCCCCACTTGGGCACCCCCTGCTTTCCTCTCCCGAATCCTCCCATGTGTATTCCCAGGTCTCCTTCTCCTACTGAAGGAAGATGCCATCTCCACTTTTGCTTTTGGTGTCCTGTCAGCTTGAGCCCTGAAGGTTAGTATAATACTGAGAAGGGCTTTCCTGTAGCGTTAGGACGCATGGGAACTGTGGGTATTCTGATCTTAGTCCCTGAACTAGTAAAAGATGAGCTCTGTTCTTCTCCCAGTCTGGCCTCACCTAAAGGAAAGCAGAATTCCCTCCAGTGTGCCTTTGACCTTGCTCCCTGCAGGGAAAAAAAAATCCTTGAATTACTGCCCTAAACGGCTTTTGACCCCATCCTGAGCCTGCTTTACATTTAAGAGCCATCCCATTAGCTATGAGCAGCTGAGCCTGAACCATCCAGGCAGCAGATCCAGCCCCTGTTAGATTGTTCCTGTCTTCAAATCTCTCTCCTGGTAGAGGCTAGCAAGGGTTGGTCTCAGCTCATCACCACACAGTTTCACTTAATTCTGGTCTGTCTTCCTCTTGGCTCTCCCAAGTATTAATCTTGCTATCAGTCTCTCTGTTTCTGCTTTTAGCTTGACCTTCACACTTAACTCATGACACTGCTTTTGTACCAACTTCCTTGGTATCTCCCGTAACTCTTCGGTGGCTCCTCTCTTCCTACCTGGCCTGCTGGACCTGAGATAGAATCCTAGATGTGTCTTTGAAGGCAGGTATCAGGTGAGCTGAGGAAAAAATCCGTTAGGCAATAATAAAATGACAGCCCTGGGGGTGTAGCTCAGTTGGCAGCTTGTCTCACGTGCACAGTGCCTGAGGTTCAAGTTCCACCACTCCAACAAAAAGCATGCCTATGATCCCAGCATTGTGGAGGTTGAGGCAGGAGGATCTGAAGTTCAAGGGCACCCTCAGCTACACAGCAAGTCCAAAGCTAGCCTGGGCTAAAAGAGATGTTGCTGAAAAGAATAAAAGAGGTCACAGAGATGCATTTTAATAAAATTCAATCTTACCAAGATGTAAAGTAGTGCTGAGAAAGCCATGATGGGGCAGGGGAAGGGGGATGTGCATCCTGAGTCACTTCTGTACCGAATGTAAAGTTGTACTGAGAAAGCCATGGTGGGGCAGGGGAAGGGGGATGTGCATCCTGAGTCACTTTTGATCTGATTGATAGAATTTTATGGAACGAGAGAAAAGGATATTACTAGAAACAGGGAAAAAGTAAAAGTTAAGCTCACTGCAGGCTGTTCCTACCTCTCTTTAATCAGTAGTGTGGCCCATGCAGTGTACTCTGGTGCTCAGCTTCTGCCACAGTGTGGACCCAACCACAAGAGAACTGGATAGAACAGGAAAGAGCCATGCAGCTTAAAGAAAGTGGAAACAGTCAGGCTGTGACGCTCCCCACCAGCATGGCTGCCAGACGCAGCCACTCAGCCGTTCCCAGGCCTAGCACGTGAGGAGGGAGCTCTAGCCTTAGGTGGATGGTTTGTGAAGGGGAGGAACTGACGACTCCTAGCTGCTGTAGCTTGAATGTTTTATCATCTTTTCTAAAGTGCATGTAGAAACCACTCCTTCTGCCGATCCTACCCCATGAAGACACAGCATATTTCCCCTACAGTAACACAGTGCCATCTTGGAAGTGGGTACTGGGTCTGTACCTGCTGTCACCTTGGTCATGAACTCCCTAGTCTCCATATAAGTTACCTAGTTTACGTTTTTTTTTTTCCTTCTAGTCGCACAGATAGACTGAAAACACTGGCTCAGGAAGAGTTGTGATGAGGCCAGGCTTAGCACCCAACGACTGTGATGCCACCCTGGAGGCAAAGTTAGACAAGAGGTTGAGAAGACATGAAGGGGTGGGGCCACACTGTAATTCAGTTCTTTCCCCACTACTGTCCACTCAGAGTGACCCAAGCCTCTTAAGGGTCTCAGCTATTACCAAGCTCAGAATTCCCCAAGTGGCTCTCCTAAGCTCTATACCTCATACCAACAGGGTAGATAGACCACAGCTATTTTACCCTCACCATTTCCCAACTGGATCTACTCCCCTAAGCATCTGTTACTGAGAGCAAGTCATTGCCCACATAGCATCTCCCAAGCCAGGAGCTTGAGTGTTAGCTTCGACTTCTTCCTTTAACGAGGTAATCAGTCAACCTAGTCAGGCTCAACAATTCTTTATACTCAGTATTTATCAAAAGCATATCCCATCCTCATCCTTACTATTCTAGCTCACATTCAGACCACTATCATCCTCATCTAAGGTACTGTAACAACCTTCAGTTATCATTGACTTATCAGCTTCTACCCCTGCCCTGCTCAGGTTCATCTCTCATGACATGCCTGTACTTGGAAATGCTATAATGGATCCAGGGATAGTGACCAAGAGCAGTAACCCAGCCACCCAGGAAGCTGAGGCAGACAGATTGTAAGTTCAAAGCCTGTCAGAACTAGAAAGAGAATTCGAAGCCAGCCTGGGCAATTAGATCTTCTCTTAAGACAGAAAGTAAAGACAAGACTGAGGACATGGGCTTTGTGGTAGGACACTTGCCTAGTGTGCATAAGGCCCTGGGTTCAATCCCTAGTACTTCACTCAGAAAGAAGGGGAGGAGAGGAGAGAAGAGGAGAAGAGAAGGCTATCATGGCCCCATTTGCCAAGGATAAAGTCCAAGTTCAATACCTTGCCTACCACATCCTTGGTGACCCACCTTTGCCTGCTAATTCAGCTTTATCCCTCAATACAGCTTGTTCCAAGTCCATGTCATATCTGCACAAACCAACATATGGTTCTCACTTCATGCTCCTGCTGTAGCTCACCTCCACACGATTGGTCCAAGGAACCCCTCAAGGAGCAACACCCTTCCATTCTATTTAACTTAGGTTAGACTCAATGAGGTTCTAAAACTGCATTAAGGGATTATTTTTCTTTTCTCACCCTTCACACACATACTTAGACACCCCTAATTCATGCTGTCATAAGTATCATTCTTTACTATTGATCAAACTCTCCCTATGGTTATCTGCATCCATCCATAATGGTAATCTCCATGGAAGCAAGGACAATCTATTGTGTCCCAGTCCAGCTCATAGCAGACATAAATAAACTTCAAAGAAATGACTGTATTAATAAGCAACAACAAAATCATTAGTTGATTCCATATTCCTTTTCCACTGTGGAAGGGACAGCAATGCTCATAACGATCATCCCCTGCTTCCTTCCAAGAGTGTTCAGCATCAGGATTCTCACCACAGCTTTGGATAGCTTTGGACCTGGGCACAGCAGAGGCATCCTGACTCTCCCATTTATTAACTAGGGAACAAGGACACGTTATTTAACCCTTCTAAGCCTGAATGTTCCTCATACGGCAATTGGAGGTAATAGAATACACCTCCTGTTTTAATTGGAAGGGTTTAAAAAATGCTTATTTTATTTTTGATTATGTGTGTGTGTGTGTGTATATGTATGGATATATGCATGTATGTGTATACACACACACACACACACACACACACACACACACACACACACGCACACACACACATACATATATACAGCTAGAGTCTTCGGATCCCCTGTAGCTGTAGTTATAGGTGATTGTTGAACTATTTGACATGGGTGCTAGGAATCCAACTCTGGTCCTCTTCAAGAGCAGAACATGCTCTTAAGCACTGAGCCATCTATGTAGCCCAGATGACTGGAGGTTTACAAAAGGATGCACATGGCTCTGTATGTGGCATATGGTAAGAGCTCAAGAAAAAAAAAATCCAAGTTACTATCACTTCTCCACCCTACCCCTTTTTTCTCTCCACAGTCTGGGGGACAGATGTGATTAAGCTTGCTAATGGGAAACAAATGATGTATTTTTAGTATATTTTTAACCTGGAGTTTCTGTGTATGTTACAGGAAATGTTGAAAGGGATGGGACTTTGTTGCAATCCTAGTTGTTATTTTTGTTATTTTTTTCCTGACTTTTCTGAGATTAAAGTGTCACAAAAGACTCACAGCAACAGCTAGCACACTGGGCCATTGCCAGTGAGCCTGGACCAAAGAAATGGTTGCTTCTCACTGCAAAGGGACAGAACTCATTAATGCTAACGGCCTCTGTGTGGCTAATTAGCAGCATCTCACATTCAATATTTACCCTTGTGTACTCCGAAATTCCACTTTCTCCTTGAGACACAAGCTGTTTCTCTACCTGACTCATGGCAAGGAGACCTTCTGTGCCAGGCTCCAGCTTCCCCTCTGCCTGGATGGGGAAGGGGGCTTCCCTCCAGGAGCCTGGAAAGGAGCCTGTGGTTTTCATTCCAGCCCTGGGTGGAGCGCACAGTGATGGGAGTCCTCTTCCAGAGGAGATGCCATTTTCATGATTCAGTCAGGCAGCTGTCAGCCCCAAGTACCATTCCAGACATCACTGTATGTTCAGCCATTTCTTCTTTCCTCTGAAAGGGGACATTCTCTGAGGTCAGCGCAGGGCCACAAGGCCTGAGAGAAGACAAACTGCCTAGAGAAGGCTTTGGGGCAACTTATCTCGACATAGGCTTGCCTACTGTATATTTAACCACTGGAACTGCATTTTGATGTTAAGGGCTCTTCTTGGAACCTCCTGATCTATAGACTGACCTGCAGCAATCATGATGCCATGTGGGAAAGAAGGTCTCCAGAGCTGACTGTAAGGCAAGGTCAGGTCAGATGAGGGGTACCAAGAAAGGATTTATAGAGGAACAATCAGTAAACTGGGATTCTGAGCAGATTGTTCTCTTATTAGAGAGGTCTGGTACCCTTAGCTTTTGTCCCCTCTCTTAAACAACAGCCTTTGAATTGAGGAGGGACCACAACTCTGGAACTACATGAAGCAAAGATGCCATGGATACTGCCTCAGAGGGACTGCTCATGTCTTGACTAACATGTTAATCACTGCTCCGTTAGAAGGGACTCACTTGAACGTGCTTGCCTTAGAGGCTTCCTTCTCAGCTCACTGCAACGTTCTTCCCATCCTCTGAGGTCCTTCCCAGCTCCCCACCTACCACCTTGATCCATCAGCAAATGCTGATTGCATGGTTGACCACAGGGCCAGAGATTTCATCATACCTCAAGAGATACTGGCCCCAGACCAATCCCTCAACCCTGAGAATGGGGTACTTAGCTGATCCCCAGCCTCTGAATGCACTGGAGTTCTTGCCTTGTCATCAGTCATGTTTGAGCCAAAACTGTCTTGCAATCCTGTGGGACATCAGGAAAGAGAGTCACAGTACAGTGACTTGGTGGTCGCTGATTTAAAGCAAGAACCCACCCTGGGTCTCTGACTCTCAAGACAGCATTCCACTCAGAATCTCAGGTAGTTCTCCAGCCTTTTGTGGTCACAATAGTAACACCTGCTTAAGGCCATCACTCCACTGCACATCTGTCAGAACCTGAGCATTAAGACTGACTAATGACAGGTGAAGCTTTAGGCCCGCCCTGAAGCAGATGGGCTGTATGATGTACTAGTTAAGGAAGGGGGGCCCAGAATTTGCTACCACAAAATATGCCACTGAAGTCAACTTAGATACAACAGATGCAGAGGGAGTTAGCTCCTCTTGCTTCCTCTGCCTGGGAGCAATGTATACATTTATCTTCCCAGAAGTGTACCTGAAGAATAACCTGAGGAATGGAGACAGGAAGTACTACCAAGGCTCTGCAGAAATAAACTTCACTAAAATAGTCCTTACTTCCCACCAATTTCACTTATTTTGTTACCCTTAGGAGCCCAGTTTTAGTAAGCATTACATAACATACCCCATACTATGTGATTATATTACATAGCTCTCCAGCAAGGGTAGATGACCACAATGAAGCTACTTTTTCAACATTCAGGAAAATACTGCCTTGATCAATGTCCCCCACCCAGTCCTTGGATATTTAGTAACGATAGACTCCAGAGGTGTACCTATCTTATTCCACCAAATTCCATCCATATGGAAGATAGTCAACCCTCTTTTTCTTACTTTTTTTTATTAGTTACTTTTCTGGGATTAAACATCATGATCAACACAAGTTATAGAAAGAAGGATTTATTTGGGCTTATAGTTCCAGAAGACTAAAAGTCCATCACTATCATGGCCAGATTCTTCGCTAAAGTATCCAAGGAATGACCACGAGCCCAGCTGCTGTTCAAAATTGTTGTTTTCCTCTAACACCTCTTAAGCTGAGCCTCCATAGTCTGCATAAATTTCAGCTCTACTATCTTCCAAGAGCCTATCAGGACGGTCTGTCAAGCATCACTTACCTCCAACTACTTTTCTACTCCATATTCCTGCAAAAACAATATGGTCATCATATTTCCATCAACACCCTACTCCTGGTACCAGTTTTGGATCAGTTACTTTTCTGTGCCTGGGATAAAGCACCATGACCAAGGCCACTTATAGAAGGAAGTTTTAGTTCATGACTCCAGAGGATAGCGTCCATAGGGTGAGGGTAGCCTGGAAACAGGTGGTAAGTACAGCAGCAGGAACAAGGAGCTGAGAGCTGACATCCTGAGCCACACGCATGAAGCAGACAGAGAAAATTGGAAATAGGGGAGACATTTTACTCTCAAAGCCCAGCCCCAGTGATAAAATTTCTCTCACCAGATAGTGCCACTCAAAACTCCCAAAACAGCACCACCCACTAGGAACCAAGTATTTAAATTCTGAGACTATGCTTGTCCTTTCTCATTCAAACCATCACAACCCTGTTAGTGAACTTGTGGATATATGCAGTGGCCACTCTAGGGACGAGCAATCATATGCTCATAATACTGAGTCCAGGGAGAACTTGGAAGCACATCTTCACACAGTTACATGTTCAAAACCCTGCTATTAGGCTCCTCAAATGTGACCTGGCTTCAATTCCTTTCCCTGTAAGCCAGCCCACCCCTTCTTGTTTTCTTGTCTCTTGTCTTATTTTATCCGCCCTTGTTAAGATGTTCTACTAACTCCCAAATCTAACTAGGCCTTTGAATACTCTAACTTATCTTAGTTCCCCCATGTGTGTGTAAATCACATGTATAAATAAGCTGGGCTATTTCCTCCTATTCATCTACCTTTCGAATGTTTAACTCACAGGCTTCAGGTCCTGTACATAATAGGGAGAGGAATGGCCTTTTTCCTGCTCTACATTGGAAACCAATTCTAATAGCTGCTGAGCAGAGCCTGAATCCCAGGTTAATCCTTTATGCTTATGACCTTATCACGGGTTATTTTTACCCCTTTAGGCCTCAGTCTCATTCTGTGCTGGCTGGACTAATAATACAACCCAACTCAATAATTATTGTTCAGATTAAGTGAGACAGTAGAGAACCCGACACAGAATATATAAACCCACAGTAATAACACCATCACTGTGTGTAGCTATACTGGGATCCAATAGTCTGCATGCTAGAAAATTTCACCAATGAAGCGAATGGGTTTATAGAGGAGAGGCAGCTCCATGGAGTTGTCTTACTTTCAAGATTAGGGAAATAGATACTCTTCCTATTCTTGTATATCAAAGGTTTACAATGACTCTATTAGCTTTCTTGTCTGAATCACTAGACATATGTCCCAAAGTCCTTTCCTCCCTTGGAAGGCTTGTTCTAACGACTGATCCTCAGCTACTACCTCTAACTTGCACTAGATTCTGGGAGACAGCCTTTAAACACTGACCCCTTCCTAGGCGATCCAGAGGTGACTGAAGCTTGAGATCCACAGACAAAGAACAAGTTTCCCTGGCTGCAACCTACCCAGCATGCTGGAATGCTGATCTCTGCAGATTCTGTGGGCAAGGGCCACAGACCAGGGCGCCCTGGTTTACCCTTTGCTCCTCATCACCTCACCCACTCATGGCCGCTACTCCATAGATCTTGTTCCCAGCCTGGGTGGCATTTCTATAACGGCCCCTCATTTCCTGCCAAGAACAGAGCTGGCCTCTCTGATCCTGGCTCTCGGCCCAGCCGGGCTGTAGGTGGATCATTAAAGACCGCTGGACCTTTTCTGGGGGACTCTGAGGCTGTGTTGTGGAGGGAGATGCATGACCAGGGTGTGTGTGTGTATGTGTGGTTTTTTTTGGGGGGGGGGATTATCATTTAAGAAGCTGCTGTTATCAAACCTGGGGAGCAGCCAGGAAGACAGTCCCTGGCCCAGACAGCCCCTCCTACCCGGCGCAGACCTCTGTTATTCATGCAAAGATAATTCAGTTAAGGAGAATGCAGACGGGAGAGATGGAGTGATTCAGAGGCTGAGGCCATCCTAACCAGGGCTCAGTGCCTGAAACATTCTTATTAAGCCAGGATGCTTAAGCATTAAGCAGGGCTGGGACCTGGGCAGAGAGACACTCAAGAGTTCACCACACAGGACTTTGCTGGAAGGTGGGAGTTAGGAGGCAGCATGTCCCGCTCTTAGCCTCTCTAAGAGCTAACTTGCCTCTGAAGTCCTCAGTGAACTCACCTTTACGTGGTTGTTCAGGGAGTTCTCATCTGGCCTGTCCAGCCATCCCAGGAAGAGATAAGCTGAGAAACTATAAAGTGTCACACAAGAAGAAAAGCTTTTCTGGGATTTAATTTGAGCCATTGATCACTACCTCCCATAAGAACAAGTTATTTCTGTGTGAGCTGCCATCTATGAAAGCCGGTGGCTTGGCCACTGGAGGCCTTGCGTGGAAGAGGACTGCAAAGGTCCTCCAGGCCAAGTAAGAGGCCCAGGGACACTTCCTATCTTCTGTTCCCCACAACTGAGAGTCAGCAGTGGGCAGCATTAGGTGGGCCTCCATTACACACCCCCACACCCACACCCACACCCCCACCCCCGACAACTATGATAGCTTAAGTCCCTTTGGTATTTGTCTTACATCTTGCTTGGCTGGAAGCTCCTGCTATGGTCTTGCTTTCATCCACCTGCATCTTGGGAGGAGGAGGCGGCTCTAGTTTAAAACCAACTGGCTGGCCCCTGGAAAGGAAAGGAAGTGCTAGAGAGCTTGGAAGGGAGCTCCTCCTATTTGTCTCTGTCTGCTTCTTCTCCCGACACGGGGAGGTTTTTTTTCTGTGAACCATTTGTCTTTCTTTTTTATAACCTGCCTATTCTGTGTCAGATGAATGCACGGCAGTGAGGAGGCTGAGGCCATGGCTTGGATGCTTGCGACTACATTAGTAGACTGGGAGGACCAATCAGATGGGACCCAGCCCCTCCAGGTGCCTGTCTGAGAGACCATACACCCAGTACCACAAGAAACATCCAAGTCAAGGTGGAGTGGGTGGGATGCACTCCAAAGGACTGGGAGCGAGCTCTTCCAACAAGCAGGCAGAGGGCCTGCTAGCAATGAAGGAGTTAATGGCAGCCAGGCCTTCTTCCTCCCCCCTCCCTTCCCTCACTGGACCCAGATGAATAGCCAGTCAGTAAAATGACCCAGTGGAAGGAGTCCAGAATCAACCACTCTGATCCCAGGGGGCATTTGTACTCTTCACAGCACAAATCAAATCACCCAGAGTGAGGACTGGCAGGCTACAGAAGGCCCAGGGACAAGACAGCCCTCTGGCCCCTTCAGGCACAGCAGGGACCTGACCCAGGCCCGAACCTCAGCCCATGAGACCCATAGGAGAATGTTCTGGTTGTGACCTGCCTGGTTCCTGTGGGTCTGGAGTCTCTGTGATTTCTCCCTGAGACCTTGTTAGCTATCACAGGGAGGCCTCACCTCTTGTCCTGTCTTCCCCTCCTCGCACACAGCAATGCCGCCTCCTTCCCCGCAGCTTACACTGACCTTGACCCGTGTGGGTGCCGGTTGATGAGAAAGTAGGCAGAGAAATCAGATCTGAACACTAGTGGAAAAACCCAAATCCCAGGACCTGATAGGACCCAGCCGCCTCCTCTCCACTCAGGCAGTCTCTGCTATCCCTCCCCACCCCCAGCTCCTTCCCTCTAGGAGAGAATGCCTTGAGCCTCCTCAAGCACCCCACTGGCTCTTCTGCACAAGGCTTTGTCCTTTTGAAAGCCTGCAGATTTATGGTTCTCAGCTGCAGACATTCCATCCCTACCATTCCTGCCCCTCACAGCCCTGGAACACCCTCCTCCATGTCCCTCTCTCAGCCCTCCCTGAATTGCAAGCAGTGTGTGTGGGGGGGTGGAGCAGGAAGGGAAGGCTGACCTCTAAACACCCAGGAGTTCAGCCTGAAGGACTCTGTCCTCTCTCAGGTCACTCAGACATCAGCTTCCTGGAACTTGAGTGTCTGTGACCTGCTAGTAGCTCAGAGACCGTCTACGAAAAGTAAACACGCAGGGCTACCCATTTCACTGTGCTTTTCTTTTGAGCAGTAGCTGTGCTTTTCTAGAATAGTCTGTTGTGTAAAGATTCTCACGTTAGCCTGCAGTGGGAGGACTTAGGAAACCGCGCCTCTTTAGATCAAATTAAGCACCTCCAGCCTGGGAATAATATGAGCAAAACCCTAATAAAATTCCGGTGGATGTCAACAGGTTGTTTGTATGGGAAGAGAGATGATGGTCAGAGGTGGAAATCTGGTGTCACAGAGAGCTTCAGACCCACCCTTGAGCTGTGGGCAAGCCCCGGACCCTTTGTGAGGCATGGACCCTGGGCCAAAGGCCAGCCTGCCCTTGAAGGGGATACCACTGATCACAGAGAGCTCTCTGCAGATGTTAGAGAAGGTCTTTGGGAGCTAAAGCTATTGTCAAAATATTTGTTAGAGAATAATGAGCTTGGAGAGCAAGTTGAGAACAAGCTACAGGCTGATGAAGCCAAGATACAGGCTGGGAGCTGGCCCCGAGCCTGGGAAGCAGCATTGTGTCTTCAGGGCCAAGGGGCTGGAAGAGGCAGCCAGAGACAGACCTGGAGCAAAGCTCAGCGGGGGATCCCCATAAGCAAGGACAAGGGCCTCAGCCTCATCCCAGGAAGTCTTGGTCTTGGCTTAACTGAGTCAGGTGGAGGTTGGCCACCATATTGGGGAGTCCAGCTGTGGCCATGCCTTCACCTTCCCGTCTGAATATGATGTCACTTTTTGCTCATCTTAGAGGCAGAGAAAAAGGTACTGTAGAAAGCTCAAGCCTGGTCCCTGGACCCTTAGACAGTGGGTATCTCTGAGCAGGTTACCCTCCTCGAGCCCCAACTAGCCTGTCAGTAAAACGTTTCTAACAAGGTTTTGTGCAGAATTGTTCCAAGGGTCTGAAGCGACCAATGAGTGACCCCTTTTATGATTATAAGCACCAAATAGAGGTTGTCTTAGCCGGTCATCATGACACTCACTTACTATATGTAGATTCATAAATAGCTCCACCAATAGGGAAACGATCCTCCCATGTAGGGGGAACCATTCTCCCTCAATGGCCCCCTGTCTCAATTTGACTCTTCTACCCAGCTCACCCCACCCCCTCTCACCAGGACCCAGGAAGCCTGAGCCACAGGTGGGCCTGGCAGCAGATCCAGCTGTGAGACTGACTGTAAAGGAGGCAGAGAGACGCAGGAGAACTGCAGGGCCATAGAACTGCTCCGGAAAAACGTTTGCTTAGATTCGGAAAGAAGAAAAGATGAATGTGAAGTCCCATTTTGAGTCGCTCGTGGCTATACATCAGCTGCGCCTTAAAGATTGCAACTATTCTAGGTTTGGGGGAAAATAAGTAATGTGCCGATTCAGGAATCAGTGCTATGAGAAAGAGAGATGAGACAAAAAATCTTTCTCTCCTCATCACACAGCCAAGCCCAATTTGCAGCTCATATTTCTGGCTGGAGCATGTGAGAGAAGCATAGCCCGGCAGGCACAGAGAGAAAGCCTGATGTGGGAAGGAGCCTTGCTGGAGCGAAGAGGAAAGAGGGAAATGGCTGAGCATCATGATTACAAGAGGGAGGTGTTGGGAGGGCAGCTGGTGGACCCTGGCAGGGGGAGACCTTCAGCTGGGCAACCAGGAGAACTAGAAAGCACTTCAATTGAAAGAAAAATGTCCTCATCCACATAACTATTTTTCAGGATCAGGCAGAGGAATTGACAATGTTGATTCATTTAGCTCAGCAGTATTCAGGTCAAAATCAATCTTGTCAAAAATCCATCACACACACTCGATAAGTAAGAAAAGGGATACAGGCTCCAGGGGAATCAATCACTCCAGCAGAGAGAGCTGAAAACAGATCTATCACGGAGGAAGCTTGCATTACTCAAAGTACTGCCTCCTGAATTTGACCTAGGACCCCACCCAAGGTCATGGGCATCATCCCCAGCTACAAGCAGCTTTCAGAACTAAGATGGTCCAAGAGTAGGTGTCCATGCAACTGTTAATCCATTTGCAGCCAAAACTCCATCAAGCCTCAGGGTAGATTTATACATGTGCACTGTGCATGGGATCTGTACTTAGCTGGCTGGTGTAGCCCTATGGAAGTTTGCAAGAACCATGACCACTTGACTCTCCTGCTGTCCTCAAGTCAGTGGGCTGCCTCACATCTATGGGGAAGAGATAATAGCCATTTAACAGTTTCCTCACTGGACCTCGACTCCTTCTCTCCCCTGTGGGGCATGCTGAATGGCCTCTACAAAGTTCTCCAGCCCTAGAAAATCACACAATGTACAAGCTGGGGCTCCCCCATGCTCTTCGTCTCTAGACCAGAAGTTGGAATCCCCCAAAACTAGCATGAGGCAAACCTGACTTCCTTAGATTCATAGGAAGCACATGAACGCATCAGAGAAAGTTCCCTGGGTCCCATCTCCACCATCCACTACTGGCTTAAGCCAACAATTTCATTCCATCTGTCCCACTTCATGTGCAAAGTGGAAATGATAATGGTGTACACATATGATAGGATGGACTAAGACTCTCAGAGGCTACTTATAAAAGAACAGCATATAGACCACACTAAGATGAAACTCTTCTTAGACAAAGATCCACGTTGGCCACAATTCGTGGCTTCTAGTCCCATCTTTCTTGACTTTTATTTTTTTGGTTTTTTCGAGACAGGGTTTCTCTGTATAGTTTTGGTGCCTGTCCTGGATCTTGCTCTGTAGACCAAGCTAGCCTCGAACTCACAGAGATCTGCCTGGCTCTGCCTCCCTCCCGAGTGCTGGGATTAAAGGGGTGTGCCACCCGCCGCCCAGCCTTTCTTGACTTTTAAAACATGTTCCCATGCTTGCATGCACTCATCCACTCAGTAAGTATTTATTAACTACAGGCTTCTCTAGCCCTCTTCTAAATGCTGGAGGAGCAGTGAATACATACATGCACAGGACTTAGGAGGAAGGCTGCCTCTAACACAACAGGTAACATTGCAGAAGGAATAAACAGCCCAAGGAAACCTTTGCAGCAAAGGAATGAGGAAGAAAACAATGAGGTGTCCTAGGGAACTATTTGAATTTGGTCCCACAAAGCCCTCTCTGAATGGGGTACACTTGGGCTGAACTTGAAGTGGGAGGAAGAGCTAAAGGAAGTTGAAGGAGTAGACAGCCCAGTGGAGGGTGGTGCAGACAGAGCAGGATAGAAAGGGTCACATCAGTATACTGGTCTTTAGATGTGATGAGAAGTCACTGGAAGCAATGTCATCTGATGATGTGTTTTGGAAACATGGTACCCAATGCTATTTGGAGTGGATCTAAGCAGGGAAGAGTGGAAGGAAGCAAATGAGTTTAGTGGCCTTAAAGAGTTCCAGGAGGGTGGTGGGAGTGTCATTCAAAGAAGCAAAAGTAGTGATGGGCAGTCAGTACTAGTGTCCAGGACACTGTTTTGGAGGCAGAGAAAATGGTACCTGTTGATGAGTTAGATGTGGAGGATAGAGGGGGAAAGAATGGATTCTTCTGAAGTTGTATCTTCAACCACTGGTTCCGTGGGGATACTAACTGTAGCTTGGAGGAAGTTTGGGAGGAAGAGGTTGGGGTGTGGAAGTGCAATGAAGAACTCTGCCAAGTTAAAATGCACGTTAGACTAGAGAGGGACAGTTGGGTCTAAAGGCTTAGACTTGGAGCCATTGCTTAATAGATGTTGACTTAAGATGGAAGACTGGGATGAGCTAGGGACAAGACGAGAGAGCACTGGGAGGAATCCACAAGCCCCCAGAACAGTCACACCCGCTAAATGCCTTTGGGTGTGTAAAGTTTGCTGGTACCTGCTCCAGAGAAAGAGGGGGTTTGGTCCCCTGCAGACTATAACTTGTAGGGTTTTGCTGTTGCTGGATATTTCTAGAAGGTGGGTGGCACCCAGCTCTATTGCTAGCAGTTTTGAGTATTCTGGAGTAGAGGAAGAGGGGAAATGGAAACAGAGTAGATCTCTGCTCTGAGTGTGGTGCAGTGTTACATGAACCTAATGTGGCTCTCTACTGGGACAACCTATATTTACAGGCTTCCTCAGCTTCCCATGACAAGGAGGGCCATTAGCACAGATGCCCCAGAGCTTGAGTTCCAGAACTTCAGGATATCAGCCTGATTCTGCTGTAGCAATCTTTTCTCTGGTCACTCAGTAAAGTTCCCATCAGTCTGAATTGTGTCCAGTTCTTTCACATTCTGCCTGTCATGAGCCTCAGAATCACACACAGTGGGTCAGCAACTCTTTCCAGTGCCTTCCATGCCAAGGCACTATGTACCCAGAGCTAGAGCATCAGGAGGGGCTGCTTACAGCCCCACACCATGGTGGGGTCCAAAGAAAAGGAAAGAGTGTCCATTTGTCCTTTTCCACCTACTGTTATCTCCAGCGGGGAGAAACCCCCATCTCAGAAGCTCATCACCCTTAGGCACACTCTTGAGTCCCTTCTCGACTGCCAGACCACTGAATAATGGCTGAATAGTGGCTCCCTAACACCTAGCACCAAGCCTGTGCCATACTGGGCATGTGATTAATTAATAGCTGACAGTCAACAGATGGATAAACAGCTAGAAGTAAGCTCAAGGAGAAGGGCCCACTAGAGAAGACTTAAGGAGAACATGGAAGCACTTGTTGAAAGAAAGATGCCTATAAGAAAGAGAGATGATACAGTAGAGAGCTGATGATGGTGTCCCAGGTCAGGATGGAGGGGTGAGGCTGTACCCTACTCTGCACCACACACACCGACCTCAAGAATGGTGCAGTGTGAGGCAGGAGAGGAAGTGGGAGGAAATAGGTAATAAAGCTCAATTTCACAGCTGGGTGGGCTGGGGCTGTGCCCAGGGAATTCATTTCTGGGACAGCAAGGCAGCTTTAAGTTCCAGGCTCCCTGTCCGGTTCAGTTCACCCAGTCAGGTGTCAGGATGGATCCAGCCTGGTAATCTAAGCTCTAGAGTCTACATCCCAGACTCCCTCATGGCCTTGCAGCCCACACGCTGCTGCCAGGCCAAACTTAAAGCTGATCTCCAGAGCACACACACACACACACACACACACACACACACACACACACCACCACCACCACCACCACCACCACCACCACCACCACCACCACCACCACCACCACCACTGTAGCTGGTTTTAAAATCACATAACATAATAAAGATGGTCACAATTGACATAGTGCTTCCTAAATGCTACTCACAGACCTGTATCTTCCTCCCTCTCTTCTATCATTCTCCCCACCCGGTCTCCTGGACAAATTGAGCTATGTAGTCCATACTGAATATCATCCTTCCTTAGCCTCCAAGACCTGGAATCACAGGCATGCACCACCCAGCCACCAGTTCTTTTCTTCAATCTTAAGACCAACCTTATTAGTGAGTGAGGTGGTGCTCTTATTTTCACAGATGAGAAGCCAGGGTCTAAGAAAGCTAATATGTCTAAGCCAGAAAGCACTAGACCCTGGATCCAGACAGCTGTCTGACTTCAATTCTCCTACTCCTTCCTCACAGACTTTCAGGAGAAACAAGTCTCAGAACTCACACATTTTGGCGGGCACCCACTGGTACCACTCTGAGGCCTGGGACATGGGTAGAGCAGTGGAAACAGAGAGGAGCACCCTACCTGCATCCTGCCTCCCTAGCCAGATGACCTCGCAGACTCTGGTGAGACTGCTCCCTGTTCCTGACTTGGTCTCCTCTGTCCCTCTTTGTTGATTGTAACTGCCTGGAGATCAGCTGATGCGGCTGGCAGGGCCGAGTGAGCTGGCATGATGCTTCTGCCACAGGAGAAAGGGGCACTTGTTGTGGAGGAAGGATTTCTGGTCCTCAGTGGTGAGAAGTCAGAGAGGCCAGAGGGCACTCCGGGGACACCATGTCCTCTGCTGAAAGTCCAGAGCTGCTGTGGCTCTGTCCTCATAGATGCTGCTCCTCTTTCCAGGGCCTCTTTTCTCTTTCTGAGTCTGATTTCTTATCCAATATCACTTCCTGGTCCCCCCCCACAACCGCGCCGACTCTAAAGCAGTCTGCTCCCCCTTCGCACACACACCTGTTACTTTGACAGCCACTAATTTTTCCTGACGGGAGCATTCACTACAATTTGCAATTACGTGCTGGTTTGTTGTTGCCGAGTCTGAAGCTGGGTGAGGACAGGAGTCATTCCAATCACAACCCCACATGCTCAGCCCAGGGAGCTGCATGCCGTGTTCACACAGCAAATCATCGTCGGATGCATGAAAACATGAATGAACAGATATGGACTGAAAAGGTTTTCTGTCTCAGGGATGGGAAAGCAAGAGTAAACAAAACAGAGTGAAGAAAAGGAGCGTAGGCAGCTGTGACGGGTGAACTTCCCCACCGTAGGGCTCAGATAACTTCTAGAAGAACTGGTGAGAATGTGATTGATTTGTAGCTGGTGTTCTGAGTGAGCAAGAGGAAGCTGTGCTGGTTTATTTAGGTGTCAACTCACCTAGGTTAAGGGACAGCCCCAAAGCAGGTCAAACATTGTCTCTGGGTATTGCCAAGAATGGGTATGGAAGAAACTGGCAATTGAACCAGCTGAATGAAAGAGAAGACTGTGGCCAAAATCCAGCGAAGAAGCCAAGGAAGGGCAGAGAGAGCCATCTTCCCCTGGCACTGAGAGCAGAGTTTGAGGATCTCTAGCCTTCGGACTCCAGATTTGAATCAGAAGTCTCCTGAGTTCTTGGGGTTTGGGCCTCAGACTAGAATCTCACCTTTTGCACTCCTTGGTTCTGAAGTCTTCAGACATGGGCTGAGCTCTGTTGGTTATTCAGCTTTTAGAGGTCATTTTGTGGGACTTAACCCTGATAACCACATGACCTTAATACGTCTCTACTTCTATATATCACGTATGTATTCATATGTGAATATATGTTTGTCTATCCCTACCATATCTTTATATATGATACATGCATACATATATACAACATACATATATGTGTGTGTGTGTGTGTGTATTATATAACACATCTTCCACTCATTTATCCACCATCCAAACATCTATCTATCCATGCATCATCCATCTACCTGTATCTATCCGTCCTTCCTTCTATTCATCCATCTATTCATCCATCCCTTCATCCACCATCCATCTGTACATCCAACATACATACATACATATATATAGCCATCCAGCCATCCACTCTATTGGTTGTGTTCTGCCCAATACAGAGGCTCACCGCCCATCCATTTGTACATCCAACATCCAGCTAGCCATCCCTCCATTCATCCCTCCCTCCCTCCATCCATCCACCCCTCCATCCCTCCATTCATCCCTCCATCCATCCATCCCTCCATCCATTCATCCATCCTATGGGCTGTGTCCTGCCCAATGCAGAGGTTCACCAATCTGATGGTTAGAGACTTAAAGTTGCCACTTTCCTAAAGAAGACATCTAACCCTGAGATTCCCCACTAACACCCTCCTCTTGCACAGCAATAATGAATTGCCCCTTAGTTAGCTCCTCTGATCCTGGCTGTTCCAGTTTCTGATTTTAGAAACCCCATCACTTTTGGTGCCATGGGGGCAGGGAGAAGCTGAGATCCTGGGCTATGGGTTCCAGTCCACTGGGCCATGTGATGGGTGGGAAATTGACTGGAATGAGGAAACCATGACCCAGAACAGCAAACGCATTCCCTGGAAAGCTCAGACTTTAATAGCAGGGTGGAGCTGAGAGAAACACCAATTGCTCACACCTGGCTGGAAACTCACTTTAGCTGTCATAGCAGCAGCTTGAAAAGGTTCTGGGTGCATCTTGGCTGGTCCAGGTGGTGACAGGAATAACCACCCATGCTAGTGATCCCACAGGAGATCGATCAAGCAGTGAGTCTCAGAAAAGCAGAGCCAGCCAGCCCCAGCCAGCCCCAGCCAGCCCCAGCCAGCCCCATCCCTCATCACCATGGTTGGCGTGCAAAGAAAGCCACCAAACAACTTCTACCATAGCACTGTGACATCAGCCAGGCCAACAAGCTTGGTGTATAGTTAGGATCTCAAACGCCAGCATGTTAAAGGCATGGATGGCTTCAAGGGTGGTGCTTGGGAGACAGTGCAGCTTTTTTAAGAAGTAGAGCCTTGTGGAAGGGTCTGTAGGTTATTGGAATTGTGCAAGTGAAGCTCCTGCCTCGTGCTTCTCTGCTTCCTGTCCATGAGATGAATCATTTTGCTCTGCCCATGGGCTCCCTGCCATTGCTGGGTGGCACCAAAGACCTAAAAGCAATGGGTTCACCCAAGCTGGGGCCAGAGACTGTAAAACCACAGGCTAAAGGAGACCTCTTCTCACCTTTTGCTTCTCTCTCTCTCTCTCTCTCTCTCTCTCTCTCTCTCTCTCTCTCTCTCTCTGTGTGTGTGTGTGTGTGCATGTTGCACATCCCTCCCATAGGCAATTTACAAGGGCTGACAGGAAGGAGGGTTTGTGTAAACAGTTGAAATGCTTACTGAAAGCTACTTTTAGAAATCCTCGCATTTGCTCTTTCACTGGCTCGTTCATTTATTCTGTGAACCTGTATGAGACTGTACTTTTTCCCAGCACTGTGCTAGCCACTGGATTTTAATGGCTAAACAAATGTCATATAGTCTCTGTCTTTATCGTGATTGACAAAGAGACTCAGAACTTAACCTGGTATTCCCTAACTGAAATGAACACATGAGAGGCAGAATGATGGGAGAAGAGATTGCATTGCACAAATGAAGGAGGAATATATTGTCCTTGTTTTAAACTGTTGCTGCCTTAGCCATGGCTGACCTAATCAGCAATTGGAACTCCACCACTACCAGTAGCAGTTTGGCTACAAGGCCCACAGCCTGAGGGGATTCTGTTCCCTCAGGCATCAACTCTTTCAAAGCTAAGAAGGGAACTTGATCTGTGGTGATATTGTATTTGTGCTGAAATGTGGTGATATTTTATTTGTATGTTAATAAATAAAGTTTGCCTGGAGATCAGAGGAAATAGCAAGCCATTAACACAAAAGTCAGGCAGTGGTAGCACATGCCCTTAATCTGATCACTTGGCAGGCAGGGTCTCTTTGTATTCAAGGCCATACTAGGGAACAACCAAACGTGGTAACACATGCCTTTAATCCCAGTACCAACCATAGAGACCTGGAGGTCTGTACAGGCAGGCAGTGACAAGGAAGTGAAATAGCTGAGCTAAGAGCCAATGAGAGGGCAGAACAGCAAGGCAATAAAGGCATGGGAAGACAGGAAGTAGCTCACTTTTGGGAGCTGCAGAGCTGGTGAAGTAAGGTTGGTTGGTGGCTCTCACTATTTCCCTGATCTCTAAGGCTTTCACCCCTATATTTGGCTCCATGTTTTTTATTTAATAAGACTGCTTAGAAATTCATCTACACTTATCTAAATCTCTGTCCCTCTAAAGAACTCAAGATTCAAAGGTTGAGGTGGAATTCTGTTCCTCAGAGATGCTGAATAGCAAGTTGCTCATCTCCTCTCCTTTCTTGTGTCTTCCAAAAAGCTCTTGTCCTTCTCCTTGCTCCCACTTAAAAACCCTTCTCCATCTGGCTCCTCCCTACTACTTCCTGTCAGCTAGTTGCTGACTCAGCCTCTTGACCGCAAGTGAATTTTATTTAATGAAACAAATGTAAAACATCTTTGCATCATTAAACAAATGTTCCAGAGCATAAACAGAAGTAACACACCTTAAAATAAATAATCTACAACATTTTCCCCTTTTTGTCTAAAAAATATGAAAAGTTTTACCTTTAACATAATTAAGACTGTATACACAAGAACAATTATCAAGTAAAGATTACATTAACAATATAATGAATTTCAGCTCACTTGTGTCTGACACAAGTGAGAAAATACTCCATTATCTATCCTATCTTAGTGAATCTAAAGTTTTTTACCTAATTTACTCTCTATCATAATTAAGTAAAACTGGAACTATAACTATCTAGTCTTCAACTCCATCAAAGGCCTCAGAAGGACATATTATTTAAGTATAATGAAGTGCATTGCAAACAACTTCCAAAAACTCTAG